CGAGAAGGGCATACAATGAGGTTTTGTCATATCAGAAAGATTGATGAAGTAGATGGTCTGATTAACACCAATATCGAAGGAGGTGTTTTTGACAGATTTGGGAACCTTATTAACCCAAACATACCTGGAGGGACGAGACAGGAAGCCTTACGACGGGAGCGCGAATGGTGGACAAAGGCAACAACCTGTATCAGTGACAGAGAATCGTGAGGTCATTGGATGACAACATCGTCAAGAAGTCACGATTACCAGATATAAAAATGTTCTCCTTTAAGAGGGGGTAACTACAAGATGACTATTGAAGGAAGGAATGAGGAAGGTATGCAGAAAGGGAAGAAAGTTGGGTGAGAAAATTTTATCCACTGAAGCATGATATATGACAAGTGGGGGAATCAGTGGAATAGAATAAAGAAGAAGTGACGATGATTTAAACAAAGTTTTCTAATATCGGTGAAAAAAACGGTGGAGTCCCACCAGATAATTGAATGGGAAAAGAAGCATGGATTTGAAACTTATAGGTATTGTTGAAACACTCATTGTGTAAGGACAGGAAAAGAGCGAGAATTCAGCAAGGGAAAACGTCGAAAGATGGTGGAGAGAAGGTAGGAGTGAAGGTGAACAGAACACTAAGCCTATTACCTCAAGGCGCCTCTGAAGCCATTGAGGCACTGACTTCAAAAGTGGTTGGACAGATTCTTCGAAGTCTACACAGACAGAGTAAGAAAAATATCTTATTCAGAGACAATAACTCATTCTTTTGAGAGGATAGCAAGTTTGACAGAGACATCTTCACATAACCAAGGGGAAGGGAAAACGTTGTGTAGATACTTGAAGGGACACAATTGAGGTGAAATTGTTTTTGGTACGAAGAGGATAAGGTCGAGGTTTTAGCTAAGACAGATAGGAACAAGAGGCTTATTGACATGAAGAGGGACATAGGTAAATGTGCCAAGAAAGGTTCAGACCCTAGTTATTTAAGTAGATAGGACTTAACATGGGAAAATTAGGAAAGGTTTGCGCCTAACTGGTGGATGCGCGAACTTTTGATTTCTTTCTTTTGAGTTTTATAGTAGGATCCTCACATTTTTCCTTCTTTAGGTAGGATATTGTACGCTAGTAGTCGAATGTGAGGTAAGATCTGCGACATATTTGTTATTTCCCATTTAGATGCAGTGATGAACTTCAGTAAATAGGGTAAATGAGGTGTCTTAGAGTATGTACTCCGATATATGAGATATCATGAGATTTTATTGTCTCTTCTATATTTTTTCGATTCAGCATGTGTACCCTAACAATAGAAGATGAGAGAGACATGTGACTTGAGTTTGAAGACTGCTTTTGGCTCAACATGATGAATTCGACTAAGTTTTTTCCTGAGTCATATATGATTTCTATCTATGGGGTATGCCGACGAGGAACACTTTTCACTTTCATATTTGAGTTGCTTCAATGTTTGGTTTTTATTGATGAAATGTGTATCTTGGATATGTGTACATTCTGTGTTGGCAAGTCTTGAACTAGGATGCTCAGAGAAGCGCCTAAGAATTCAAGAAAGATGGGGTGAAAATTGATATGTACAGTTTGAAAGTGCTTTGCATTTATGGTCAGTTTTTTCCACGCTTTATCTTATGTGGTTATTCTTGAAAGGGACAGGAAAAATGGTCAAACTTTTTGAGGCATTTGAGAAACCCTGTGAGTCAGGGAAATGTATGTTATGAATGAAATGGATGTTTTTCCTGCCTTCTGACAAGACAATGGGTCAAACAAATATTTTTTTTATATACTTTTTTTATGAATATTTTGGTTGGTTTTTCTATTGGAAAAAAAATCCCCGAGACATGTGTCTGTCCAGCCTGTGATCGAGGTCTGGGAGGCACGGCCCTTAAGTGGCTCTGACGATGCCCCTCGATCAGAGACAAATATGACAATCATGTTAAATCATTTCTTATTGCTGAAATTGTTTTCTTTCATATATACATTCAACGGGGTTGTTCACCCATTCAAAGACAACTGACGAGGGGAGAAAAAGATTCTTTGGTCAAATTGAATTTCATATGTGTATTTTTGAAATAATCATCGCTCATCCACTTATGGAGGTCAGTCTGAGGGACTTAAAATTACCAAGTCTATGGTGAAAAATTGGCATCGTTGGAACGTAACTCCCAACGTGGGTTGCCGACTAAGTATAACCAGACAGCGGACCTTCTGATTAGGGCCTGGGACTAAACTTGATGGGGGGGACTCCCTAATGATAGTATCGGTTCAGGTAGATATCGAAAGGATCAAGAGTCACGTCTAGATATTTTGATTTGAGGATTTTATCATGTACTGCGTAACCAATACAGCTACCACCGTTAGAATAACAAAACGGTGGGCCGCAGACCCAGCCTGATGAACCGACTGTGGTGGGTTGAGACCAAGGTCGCCGATCCCCTCGCATTAGACTTCGGGTGAGACGGTAAAATCTGACTAAGGTTAAGACGCGCATCCAAAGAGTAAGACTCAACTATGATTCCTAACTCCTCGGACACCCAACGAGATCCTGACAGATAAAGTCTAAAGTTGAGGGGAGAGGCTATCATTACCTTCCTAGATGACCTCTGTAACTATAGTACAGATCCAGTATCCCCACTTTGAGTCATATGGAATAATATTTCTTTAGTATTACAATTTTTTAAGGTATGTGGGAGACCCAGGTTAAAATTCTGGCAGTATGGACGCACCAAGGGAGACAGTGAGGGTCTTCAAACCACAACTTCATCTTGGAAATCGGATTTTGACAACTTGTCGCGTCAGAAGGTCTTTGTTTGCATTTTGGTTCCCCAGCGACGGGGACGTCGCTGAATGGGGTCCGGGAAGACTGTCGGAGCAAACACCCTTACAAGGGCATTTGCTCATGATTTTGCATTCGATAGAGTATCGACGCCGGTCGTTGTGTCGAAGACAAGCTGGAGTAAAAAGTGAAAGTTTTTTTGGCTTGGCACTATGAAGCAAACTTCTCGACCATTGAGGCCGAGATTTCTAGACAACCATACGTAATGATACGACGCATACGACAACAGGAAAGGGTTAGTAAAAATTCAAATTCTTCGGCCGCGAGAGCTGGAGGGTTGGATAAGGACAAGAAAAGGGTTGTGCGGGATGCGTCGACCACGATCTAAATCAGTCAAAGGTTCAGCGCTTCCCAGCAGGGCCCGGGACCGCCGCGCGCGACAACGTCAACAACAACAACAACAACAGTAACGAGAACAATGATGGTGATCAGGGACTCGGGGTAAAGGGTGAGGAGGGGGGGAAGGATGACACTGTCAACAACAACGATGGTGATAACAACAACAACAACAACAACAACAACATCTAAAATGACAACAGTATTAACAACAAAAACGACAACAATTACGACGACGGTGGTGACGATAACCATGGGGGCAGAGGGGCAGGGAGTGGGGCTTTTGCATCCAAGCTCCTTATCAGCATCATGGGAAAAACGCCGCCATTAGTACAGCGGGGCAGAATTGGTGGTTTGCTGAGGCTGGTGAAGTGGGGTTTTAGGTTGGAGGTAAGATTTACGGTTCCCCCCCACCCATACCAGGTGTTTTCGCATGAGGAATCGTGTTTTCTCTTCTAGTGCCGAGTGGGGATGGGATAGATGATAGCTCTGAGATGATTTGCCTTGATTGCCTCTCATCTTTCTAACCCTCAACGCTTTTACGAGCAGGAGGTCAATCCTTCCCCTGGGTTGGAACTAATCAATGCCTGTGCTCTGTTTGGTGATACATGTGAACCAAGTGCATATATGGTCGGCTTCCAGCTCACATACAGTATACCAACCCTGGGGTTTCGCCTTTTTTTTTTTTTTTTTTTTAATAGCAAAAGGTCCCAGTGCCCAAGGCTTTAATTATGAAATTGATTACAACATTTCTACGCACGCCTCTTCCCATTAGGGTTGGAAGAGCCTCAGCCACTGCTCCCCTGGAGACAGCTTCCCTGCAAAACACGAATATAGCCTAGTCGCGGGGCATTGATTGCTTCCCCAGTGAGGAAGGATTAACCCTGTTTGTGTGCAGAATCAATCTCTGCCTTACAAAACTCCTCGATTATCCCAACTTCAATCATTCTACACGGTTAGGAGTAGGGGAGATATCAATACGGCAAAGAGATTGATAACAGGGCAAGAAAATTATTAATATTTTTTTTTAATATAAGATAACTTGTATTTAGGGTAACAAAAAACACAACTCAAGTAGTTCAATTGTAATTACGACGAGCTTCCCCTAAATATCAGTAGTTAACACAAACACAACCCATAGGGGAGCACAATAGTTGAAAGAAAATTTTAATCTAAACGTAAAGACCATCAAACCAAGTCAAACCCTAACCAATGACGACCAAGAATTGAACATGGCCCCATGAGATGGACATAGACTGAGACCAAGTACCATAAGAGAGAAAGAATTCACCCAACAAGAGAGATCAACACAGATGAAAAGAAGGGGGGAGGGAGGGAGAGAAAACAAACCAAGAAGTCACCCCTGCCTCCCAAACCCCCTCTCTGCAACCTCTCTTTTTCCTCCCGAGTCCCATGGATAAAACTCATCGCCCTTCCACCCCTCACCGCATCGCCAGATCAGCATCTGATTCATCTCATGCACGTCAAAATTTTCATGCGAGAGGGCGGGAAGAAACCGAATAGCCCTCACCTTAGTAGCTAGCCCATCGCCAGATCTTGGTTGGACGCCGATTGTGTAGATCAAAGTGGGCAAGACAATCATGACTGAAGATTGTATTTCAGATGTCATCGTCGGAGTCGCTATTGTTGTCGTTGGAAAAATTGTTGGTGTTGATGATGTCATCGCGGTTGGCGCTGTTGATGTAGGTAGTGTTTCAAATGTCATCGTCCAAATCGTTGTTGTTGTCATTTGAATAATTATTGGAGTTGATGATGCTATCGCGGTTGGCGCTGTTTTTGTCGTTTGAATTTTTTTTGGTGTTGATGATGCCTTCGCAGTTGGCGATGTTGATGTAGATATAGTTAAAGAACTTGTTTCAGATGTCCTCGTGAGAAGCGATGTTGTTGTCGTGATAAAGAACGCGGATATCATCGTCGCTTCTGAAAGTTGCTGCGAACCACTTGAGGCAGCGCTCGCAAACACCTCCCCAGATGTGCGTATTCCCCCTTATCACACAGATCGCTCTCTTCCTCGTAAATCGCATAGCAATTGCCCATCAAGGAGTCCACGAGCTGCCAATCAAGGAGATCATCCAGCTGTGGATCAGGCCCCTCTTCAAGCTCCCAAGGGACATCCATCATCCTCTGCCGCTTATCCTTCAGCCATGCGGTCCTTGAAGTCTCCCCCCCTACAACTTCAGACCAATCACGAACTTTTGAGGACACAAGAGTCACCATCTCCCTCAGCCGACGCTTCCCCTCCTTCAACTTGTAGATCCAATTTTCCACCACTTGTTGTAGATTTGCTGTCAAAGTCATTTCCGTCCCCTTGCCGTACCTTTCATCCGATAGAGCGCCATTCGCAAGGACGCCATCTACACGATGATTACAGGATTTACTTGTCCTGCCCTTATCGCTGTCCATTCTGCCCTCGTCAAACCTCCTCTAGACACGAAGTTTGACCTAAAATTTCCATAACGATGGCGTCAACGCCGTCAGTCCCCCTCATGGCCACCGAGACGTTGGGTGACAAGACCGTCGGACCCCCCAGCTGTTCGCTCCCCGTGCGCTCGCGAAGTAACGCTCTAACTCTTGAAAGCGGTTGACGACTCTTGAAACATTCCCGCGTTGCAAGAGTGGTGTGGCGAGGCCCTAAGTCCAACCAATGCAATTACAGTCCACGATGGAGCGGCCTAGCTCAGTTGGTAAGGCATGCAAGTGGCATTCAGGAGGTCTTGGGTTCAATTCCCATTGGTCTCATGTACCTTCCTGGGCAAGTTTGGCGCCCGCCACCTAGAGATAGGCCGTTGGTCCCCCCGAGTGGCATTTAGCAGAGACTGCTGATGTTCATAGGGGGAGGGGACTGGAGGGGAGGCACAGCAACTGGCCAATGGAAGAAGCTCGGTCCTCAGGCTGATGCTACTGGCTGACCCCTAACCGGTATCCCCCACCTGCTGGTGGGAGCAGCTTCCGCATGTTCCCTCGTAGGAGGCTTGAGCATGAATGGGTTAGGGTTTGATGTTAGGGTTTGATGTTTGGATTGTTTTACAGAATCGGGCCTCATGCCCCATTTACCATGAAAAAAAAAAAAAAAAAAAAAAGACAGGATTGCACCCATTGAAGCAGTCTTACCGTCCTTCCCCTAGCTTACCCAAGGCCAAGCGGAACTCGGATTGGCCTGAGCGACTTATACCCCTTCCCTTACCCTACGGCTGTCTCTTATACACATCTAGATGTGTATAAGAGACAGGGGCATCTCAGCCCCATGGCCCTGTTGTCAGATTCCAGAAACTCAAAAAAAAAAAAAAGACAGGATTGCACCCATTGAAGCAGTCTTACCGTCCTTCCCCTAGCTTACCCAAGGCCAAGCGGAACTCGGATTGGCCTGAGCGACTTATACCCCTTCCCTTACCCTAGGGTCTGAGAAAGGTACTGGTGGTTTAACGGATGTCCCGAAGGACAGGGACATATTTCTTTCTCTCTCTCACTAAGGGTTGGACCCCACATGACCGCGGAATGGAAAAACTTTGCCGCAAAACAGTTTCCAGGACCCCACAGCCTGCAGCAGATGTCCATTGTTCAGGAAAAGGTGAAATTTCTCCCGCAAACCGTTTTCCGGGACCCCACAGACCGAAGATTGTTGTTTTCGGGCATAAATACATAGCTTACGAATTATACATGGCCTACAAGCTACATACACAAGTTTCCACACATGGTGTTGTCTGTACATCTTGATACATAGATACACGGAGCATACATTGCCTTCGGGTATACACATAGATTGCGAACTACACAACTATCCGATTGGGGGGGTCTAGTCACTGGGTGGGGTCTAGTATCTGCAGTAGGTACAGGTAAGGGCCGTCGGAGTCCCTACTAATATTCCGACAGAATTGCCTGGTGGCTATACAAGGCACTGTTGATGCCGAGCCTGAAAATGCCCTACGTGCCAATTTTTGCCGAGCCTGCAAGGGGCGGGAACCAAAATGGGACATTTGTTGCTTGGCACAGATGCCGCCCCTTATGCTGGCCTTGCTGCCAGCTGGTGGGCCCATGCCGTCGATTTCTTGTTTCTACATGTCTACCTGAAAATGGCCTCAACAAAAGTGCAGCCAAATCCATTCCAGAGGAGCTCGCTAGTAGGTATCGGGCCTCCCTCCAATACTCTAGACTCTAGACTTTCATGAGTGACGCCTTGCTCCACTTACTCCAGACACCAACTCACAAAAACACACTTCGAGAGTTATCAGAAAGCAAACTTTTTTTTTTTAAAAAACACCCCCACCGGTGCTAGTGGTGCTGATAAGAGCAGACAGTGCCAGACACCACTACCACCCGGGGCGAGGCTCCATCTATTGGTGGGGAGCATCACCTGCTGGAAAACGAGTCCAGCGTTCCATATACAAAATGTAATCAGGGAACATCAGATAAACAATCCTGCCAGCATTGATTACCCTAGATTACAGGGGATTGACTGAGCAGGATGTTGGAAAAAACTTGGGAGAACGATTTTTAGAACAATAACTGGAGAAAACCTGCCAGTATTGACTGCTCTGGACTCCAGAACTGGTTGTGAAGGCTCTCTAACTGTAATCACCAAACCAACTGTCCATAATCTGCAGACGCCATGGGCCTGGAAACAGCAGCCCTCATGCAGAAAGATGCCTGAGATGCGTAGGCGAGTAGCAGGAGTCCAGCTGATCCCCTTCTCCTTCTTCCACCCTTCATCTGGTCAGGGTACCGGGAGGAGCCACAGGTGGGCACCAGTGGGTCCTCCCGTCACCCAGCCCTTCCTCGAACGGTCCCCTTGCAACCATGCAACCATGCGATCATCTGCCGGGTGTAACCAACTGTCATCCCTCCTTGCCATATCAAATTGTTAATCTTTTTTTTCTTTTTTTTTTTACAATGAAATACATTGGAATATATCAGAAAAACTTGGAGGAGGATCTTGCCAGTATTGATTGCCCTGGAGCTTAGGGGATTGACTGAGCAGGGGAGACCTCTTCACCCTGAATTCGGCGCCAGATTTCAACTGCTACGTATTGGCCCCTCCCTCCCTCCAATAGCCCCAGTCCCTTTCTTGACGATACGCAACGAACACTCTTGAAGAAAATGTAGCAGGCGTAACGTAGGTGGTCCCTATCTCATTTTGCAGCCTTTGACTGGTTGAGGGGTCCGGGAGGAGCCACTGGGGGGCACCAGTGGGACCTCCTCCCAGCACCCTGCCCATCCCCTAGAACCTTGCTCCACTTCGAAACCCACCACCTGCTCTCTCTACGTCATGTTAACACAAAAATAGTGGGACCTCCTCCTGATGCCCTGCAGCTTCCCCTGCCAAACCTTTCTTTCAAAGAATGCCACTTGCCCCCTCTGTGTCATACTGCCAGCAGTCAGAGGGGGATGGAAAAGCAAGAAATGAAAAAAGGCGGTTTTGACGCAGCAAAAGGCTGACAAAAGAATAATGGACACATGGCAGAGCATCCCCTGCGGGCACTCAGAGGTTCGAATTTAGCCCTGGTTGCCCCCAAGGCAGCAAAAGCCAGAGGAAGAACGGGACGAGTTAATGACGGATTATTACTGGATTGAATTTCGGCACGTACCCATAGAAATTCAAGGGGCATTTTTACAGGAACTCGCTCAGAAATATGAGATTGTTGACTTTATTGATCCCCTCCCCCCCCGCGTGCCTCCAAGGGATGATTATCTTATGATTGCCTTGGACTTACCCAACGGCCACATCTTTACCATCGACGATGTGATTCTCTTTCTAGTTGGGGGGAGGGACTTCAGGATACACAGTGCTCACAAGAAAAGGCCATGGTGTTTCAAATGTCAGGCGTGTGGTCACCTTCCCCCAGACCCGGAGTGCCCCCATCACCCGGACAAAAAAAAACAAATCAACTGGTCGCCTGTTACGCGACCCCTTCAAAGTCACCTGGTGGAGGACGGTGGATGCAGGGCACGTAGGCTGGGTCTACGTGGATGAGCCAAAAGAAGGAGGAGGGGTGACGGGGTGGGAATGAGAAAAAGAAGGTGAGGCAAACTGGGATGCAAAACCCCCAAACCAATGGACCCCCCCTAAATCAGTAGAGGTGCGAATGAAAAAATCCATCAACGCCCCTAGTCTTCCAAAAGAGGACTCCATGCCAAGCAAGGTTGCCCCCCAGACGAAGGCCATGACAAAACCAAGGCCTCAAGACTTTATTTCCTCGACGGACATAGGGGAACTGTGGCAGCCCCTGCCCTCCAAAAAGAAGGCACCTCTAAGCCAACAAGGTAAGCGACTAAACAAATCAATTGGAACTGACAACCGTTTCCAGGTATTGGCAGCAGAGGTGGGGAACAGACAAGAGGGACAGCAAGGCCACCCGCTGCAAAGTGAAGAAGGGAAGAATGGCACAAGGCAGGAAAAGCAAGAATCCTCAGGCGGGGTAAGGGCATCCGACAGAAGAGAAGGGACACCATCTGGCAAAGAGGGTGGGTTTCAGGCGTATAAGAGGGGAGGGGAAAAGGGTGGAGGGGAGAAGGGGGACCAAAAGGGACAACTTGGGGAGGAGAAAGGAGATGGGGAGAAGGACGATGAGAAGGCACAGGAAAGAAGGAAGCATCTGACTCAGGAGGGGGAAGCGTCACAGCAGAGGGTAGAGAAGCCCACCTAAAGAGAAGAAATAATTATAGACCCTCCCCATGGAACTTCAGCTAGCAGGGACCCCCCCCTAGGAAAGGATCCGTTCTTACAAATCTTCGTACCGCAACCCATGGATTGGGAACCACCAACACTTGCCCGTGATGTGGAAATGACAGACACAGCTCTCGAAGCTTGGGGGGCGAAAGGGGAAGAAGATATGGAAACCAGATTAAAGAACCTGGTAGACTGGCTAATTGGCCAGCTCCAGAGCCTTTATACAGGGTAGTGAGAGCAATATTGGGACGAGGCCTACGTACAACTTTTTGCCTTCTTGGATGAGAGCCCCAACCTGAAGCAAGTTATGCAGCAAGGCCCGCCCCCGGATTTGGACTGGCAACAGATATCGTGTAGGATCTGGAATATCGTGCACAACATCTTTCAGCCCCCCAAAACAATTGAATCCCCTGAACCTGCGGGCATGCACGATATGTCTGATTTGGAAAATAACCTCACACTCCCCTGATCAGCCCTCGACAAGGGCAGTGTTACAGGTCACGAAGACCTCTCAAGCCGAGCAAGGAGATAGAGAGGCGGCAAAGATAGAAGGAAAAGGCCCATCGAAAAGGGTCAAACTGCGCCACTTCATAGAGAAAGGTCTATACCACAAAGGCCTGCCTAAGGGGGACAAGATACTCGTATTACCGATTAGAAGTTAAGCGAGGCGGTGGGAGTTAGGTCTGTCACCTACAGAGACTGAAAACCCGTACACTTCTGCTTATGGGGGAATGACTCTACATGGATGACACATGCAGAGGGAAGGAGCACTCAGAATCCACGAAGTCACAAACTTCATTGCCAGCCACTACGAACCAGGGGCAAATACCACCATTAGTGTATCGACAGAAGGCTTGTAAATGGC